ATTATAAGTTCGAGTGGTGATTAAAGTTAGTTATGTTAGTGTGTGTTTTAATATAGGTAAGTATAGGATTTGATCCATTTTATATAGGTTAAATGAGTTTAAAAGTTAGAAAATCCTAAGCTAGCAAAACCTTTAGTGTTATGATATATTAGAAGTTTAAGTTGGGTTTAAAACCCTAATTTTTTCCTTGACAAAAAGGTTGTTATTTAATTGCTTTTATGTGGGATAAAGTATGTTTAAGTATAGGTGATTAAGATAAGAAGCTGATTAGTGAAGCAATTAAGTGTGATTACATGTTTTGGACTAGATTAAGTTATGACCTATGGAGTTAATTGAAAGAGTTCCAAATATTTGAGGGCAAGAGTTGATCAAATGCAAAGTTGAAGGTGTAAGGGCTAAGAAGCAAATAAAGCACTCTTGTGTGATTGGTTAGCTTAATAAATATCTCTCCTAAGTGGTCTTGCACCACATATTAGTCTCAAGGCCTATAACTAAGTCATTAGTGAGACAAGACAAAACAAAACAAGAGAGAGCAAGAGAGAGGTGGAGCCATGGAAAAGGAAGAGAAAAACCAAGGGAAATTTGCAAAGTTCAACCAAATTTCTGCTATAGATTTTCATCTTGAAGCATAAAGAATCCATCTTTGAGTTGGGTTGAGTTCATTAGTCATCATACAACCTTCATCTTGATGTAAGAAAGTTCTTATGCAAAGCTAAGTGTGGTTTATGATGCTTGGGATAGTGGAAATGATGATAATGATTGTTAGTTGTGATTGATTATGGTGTCTCTTATGTTTATCATTTGATTTTATGGATTAATTTGGTGAAAAATGAGGCCTTGAGGTTCGGCCATATGAACCCTAATGAGGGTTTCATGCTAAACATGTTGGTTAGCCTTAATCTTGTGTTATTGAACTTGTAATGGTTGTGTTTGATGATTTATCCCATTTATTTGGTGAATGGGTGGTAGAAACTGATTTGGGTCAAGAAACCCTAGGCTAAAGTAAGAAGTATTTGCTTGGTTAGGGTTAACTTGGTTAAGGTGTGATGCACTAATGGTTAGCTAAAGTTAATGGGTGCATATGAAGTTGGATTAGAAGGTGTAGATACATGAGGTTGGTTTTGTAGAATTGTATGGTGTAATTTCGGATTTTGAGAGGGGAGTTTGGAGCTGGTTTAAGGGTGTGTATTTGGTGTGCATTTGGCCAGCAAACTTACATGATAAACATAGAAACGAACCATGCGTTTGCGATGCGCGGAACCGTTCAAAACCCCAAACAGGGCAGCCCAGAACCTGAACTTAAGCTCCATTTTCCTTGATGCTACGTGCTGATTCAGAAGTTTCTCAAAACATGAAAGTTGTATCCTCTTAAGTCCTGAATATGCCTGCAAAATTTCAGGTCAAACGGATCTATGTAGCCTGAGTTTTGGTCAAAATAGTCGCATCTATTCTAAACCCAGAATTCTGCCGCGTTTCTTGTTTTAGCCTCTGACCATGTTCTGTCCGTTTTGATAATGTACGAACTGGATGTTGACCTCTTCATAAGAAATGTAGATCTTGGTCTTAGCTTCGAAACGGTATAAAGTTCATCCAAATCCGAGTCCCTTAGCTTTAGTTATGACCAAAACAAGATCGGTTGTCAGAACTGCCTTCGAATTTGGACAGTTCTGATAGGAACTTTGAACCCCTTTTTCTCCATGCTCTGTAGTGATTCAGCTTTTGGTCCAAATATGAAAGTTACAGCCTTATGAATGAGCTTTCTAATGCCTCTAGAATTTCTTGATTTCGATTTCTGAGCCGTGAGTTACGGTCTTTCAAATAGGGCCTGTTTGGTAAACCGAAATGAAATGGCTGGAACTATTTTGTGCATTTTGACCAATACCTATTGAGATATGGGTTGAGATGTTTAAATAAAAGTTGTAGTCCTTCCTCGTAACTTCGAAACGGTGTCTCACCCACCTTGATCCGATATCCCTAGCCTAACTTTTGATCAAAACGGTTTGAGATGGCAGATTTGGCCGTTCCGCGTGCGCGCGTGTGTCCATTTTGTCGTTTCCGCACTTGCATGTGCCGATTTTGCCGTTTTGCTTGTTTTGGGCATGTTAGTGGCCGTTTGTGATATAATGAGATGCAATCTTCTATTTCAGACCGTGGTGAGTCAGGCAGAGCTGGTGGGGCCTACTATTAGCTAACACGCACGAAGTGATTTTTGCTCTTATACTACTTTTGTGTTTTGAGTAAGTATTCGGGCCATTTTGTATATAACTTGCTTGTGTGTTTAAAGGGAATGAAAGGGTACCTAGGTGAGGGTGTACTTCATCGCACTCGACCTAAACCCTAATTTACGTGTATATTTATACATGACATGTCTAAATGAATTATTTTGGGTTTGAACCCCTTGAGCTTGGAGCTCGGGGTGACTTTCATGAGTTCGTGAAATATGTTGAAGTTGTGGGCCCGATCTCAAGACTTGGATGGACTATTCGAGCCGACCGGGGCTTGGTCGAAACCAGTCCAACCTAGTCTGAGGTCATCAAGTTCGTAGGTTCCAGTTGTGAATCAAGTTTGTGACCCGAGCTTGTGACTCAAGCTCAAGTTTGTGAGGTGACTGGCCAGTGAGGGTGATAAGGTGTTAGGTGGGAGTACAAGTGGAGTTCTACGGACCCTTACATGTGGTCGACGGAGTGTCGGCAGGAGGTCACGCCTGGCGAACGTCTTGGCGTTGGAGCCAACCTGTATCCTTAATTTGTGATTGTTACTTTGTACCTTTGATTTGACATCTCTATGATATAATTGTTCATTAATGTGCAATTTACGCTTTTACCCCTGTTTACTTACTAAGCTTCTAGCTTACCTCGTTTCCTTTGTTTTCCTTAGGAGGGGATGACGCGGGGAACTCCTTGGCACATTCACTAGTATAGCTAAGTTTGCTTGTAATAGTTGGACAATTAAGATGGTTGTTTTTGTTTTGGTGGTTTGTGTAAGGACCCACCTTAGGGTCCACTTTCTGCTGGTCGTTATTATAATGTAAATGGTGGTTTGAATAGCTACTTTTGGGAATGTAAATAGAACTCTTTTGGCGTTAGATATATTGTGAATAGTACGTTTTTGGGTTTATCTAGTTTTATTGTTTTGAGATTTTGAGTCCTGGCGCGAGTTAGGCAGGCGTCCCGCCGATACCCTAGGGTTCGCCCTTGGGAGAAACGGGGGCGTCACAGAAAGAACGTAAAACTCAGTTTACTTTTCAAAAAAGAGGTTGAAATTCAATGTATGCTAACATAACTTTTATCTTTTATTAATTGAAAATAGTTATATTTATATTGCATAATTATATTTTTATTTTTGCACAAGTGACATATTGAAGCATTTTTTCTGGGTAGTTTGTGATCTTATAAGATATTTAACCAAAGATTATTTCTTATCCTAATTTTGTTATGACTATGCTGCATATTTATGAAATAGACATACCTTTATAATTAAAATTAATATTTGATATTTTAAGATGTCATATATTTAAATAGATGAAAATTATTTTGAATATAGCATATTAAGATAATGTTGTTCAGAAAAATTTGCCCTCCCCCCAAGGAAAAAATTCTGGCTCCGTTCTATAGTCAAAACAAAACTTCAAAACAAGATAAAGGATGATTTATTGAATGATTGCATAACAATGTACATAAAAAAGAAAGTTGTTTGAAAATTTATCATTGATTCAATTATACATGAATTTAGTTCTGTAAAAGAACATAAATCTCAAATTATTTTTAATAAAAGAGGATGAAATTTCAAGGTATGTTACTATAACTTTTATCTTTTTTAATTGAAAATAGTTATACTTATATTGCATAGTTATATATTTGTTATTGTACAAGTGACATATTGGAGCATCTTCTCATAATGTGCAACTTAGGTGGTTTATGATATTATAAGATATTTAATCATTTTTTTTTTGGGGGGAGTGTAAGCAAGAGGTTTCGGGTTCGAGTCCTCCCGATTATACTAAAAAAAAAAAAGATATTTAATCAAAAGTTATTTCTTGTCTTAATTTTAGTTATGACTATATTACATATTTATGAAATAGACATACATTTATAATTAAAGTTAATATTTGATATTTTAATATGTTATATATTTAAATAAATAAAAATTATTTTGAACATAACATATTAAGGTCATTTTGTTCGAAAAAATTTTGGCCCCTTAAGGAAAAAGTCCTGGCTCCGTCACTGCTGGCAACTAACCTAGGAGAATATTGGATTCGTGATGCTGCGCAAAGCTGTTATCTTCAATATCGTTTTTCTTGAATTCTTGCTAGTTCACTTTTCTCCGATACTTTGATTTGAATATGTTCAGATATATTTCTCAACATTTCTTCCCGTTTGTTTTCTGGCCTTGAAGTAAAATGTTATGCATGGACTGGTATTGCTCCTTGTGCAAAATGATGCAGATACCCTTGTGCTTTTTCATAAATAGGGAGATCATTTGTACGTTCGTTTGGGAATGAAAACATATCCCACAGATCTTTGGATAACTCTTTCTCCTTTCGACCATCAGGATAAAATTTTGTGTCTGCCAATCAACAGATAGCAGTATTTAGTAACCAGACAGATAGAGATATTGACCTTTAAAATATAAGGGAAAATCGCTAATTTAGTCCCTAAATTTTTTCACTAACGCCAATTTGATCCTTCAAAGTTTTTTGATACGCAATTGATCCTTAAAGGAAAATGTCTGTGCCAAGAAAGGACCTATTAGGCGGCGCCACCCAAAACATCTTTTTTTTTCACCTACACGGGAGGCCATTTAGGGGTATTTTAGGAAGAAGGTATTGGGGCCCATAATAATAATGTGTCACAAAACATTTTCCAAACATTTTCCATCGTGGCCCTTGCAATGATGAGGTACCAAACATTTTCCATTGGCTTTCAACACTTGAAAGAGCTTGCTACATGTTATTGTGTCACAAAAGATCCGGAGCCATCAAATCTCCCTGCCTCAGTTCACACACTACACCATTACGACTAACACTACTCGTGTATTAGTATTACTAGCATTTCCGCTCGCTCGCTCGTTGCCCGGATCCCTCGTCGCTACTTTCCAACATTTCTACCATGCCTAAGCTGCCCGGGAAAATCCATAATCCTGCACCTTTCTTCCTCTTCATCCTTCTTTGTTTTTCCTTCATTATTTCAGCTACGTCCGGCCTCACCTTTTCATCAGATGTAGCGGCCCTTAAAGCCTTCAAAGCCGCAATCAAGCCCTCTTCAATTAAGCCATATTCATGCCTTGGCTCCTGGAACTTCTCCAACGACCCTTGCTCCATTCCTCGGGCTTATTTCTCCTGCGGTCTTTTATGCAGTGGCAACAGAGTAACCCAGCTCACCCTCGACCCGGCTGATTCCGCCGGCACCCTGACTCCACTCATTTCCAAGCTCACTCAGCTCGTCACGCTCGACCTCTCAACCAACAAATTCTCTGCCCCAATCCCACCACTCTACTCCCTAACCAATCTACAAACTCTTTTACTCCGATTCAACTCCTTCTCCGGCTCAATCCCACCCTCTTTGACCGCGCTTAAATCCCTCGAGACGGTTGATCTGTCGCACAATTATCTTTCGGGATCGCTGCCCAACTCGTGGAGCTCGATCGGCAGCTTGAGAAGGCTCGACCTGAGTTACAACAAACTCACCGGTTCACTCCCCAAGCTCCTGCCCAACCTCATTGAGCTGGTGATCAAAGCCAATTATCTGTCCGGGCTGCTTTACAGGACTTCATTCCAGGGGTTAACTCAGTTGGAGGTTGTTGAACTCAGCGAGAACTCGTTTTCCGGGACACTCGAAGCTTGGTTTTTTCTCTTGCCTGCTTTGCAGCAGGTGGACTTGGCGAATAACAGCTTCACGCGGGTCGACATCTGGAAGCATAAGAATGGGAACAGTGACCTGGTGGCCGTCGATCTGGGATTTAACAGAATCGAATGGTATTTGCCCGTAAATTTCGCAGCGAGGCGGGCGAGGGCGATTGTGCAGGTGAGGCGGGCTGGCGTTGCGACACTGAGGTACTGGCGGACGTGAACTGCGGGCTTGGTGAGGCTATGGTAGGCATTAATCTTAATGATGATGACCGGGATGTGAGGCTAAAATGGTGGCCCATAGAACCTTCGTCTAGAATGGCGCCGTCTTCTCCAACCGCCCAAAGCTTTTTGCATTGCCTAAATCTTCAATAGCAACCGGCATCACGTCAGTCGTCAACTCACTTATGTCCACTAGGCATTTTCCCCATTTAATGGTGCTGTTTTACTGGTATCTCATCATTGCAAGGGCCCCATTACCTTCTTCCTAAAATACCCCTAAATGGCCTCCCGTGTAGGCAAGAAAAAAGATGTTTTGGGTGGCGCCGCCTAATAGGTCCTTTCTTGGCACAGACATTTTCCTTTAAGGATCAATTGCGTATCAAAAAACTTTGAAGGATCAAATTGACGTTAGTGAAAAAGTTTAGGAACTAAATTAGCGATTGACCGAAAATATAATTGTGATGCAGCGCATTGTTCTTGATCTATAGTTTCCCATCACTAGTTCAGATATTTTCTGAGCCCGAATTTTAACAGCAGTAATCAAATCTCTTGGTGGAGTGGCTGCTGTATATGACAACGGCCTTAATTCCAGAGATAAATGAACTCTTTTTGTTGCTAAAACTTCAGAAAGAAGTTGTATGAAAAAGTACTTGGTGCAAGATGAAATGTTAATAGCCTTGATATACTTCTCAAGTACCCCCGTTATTGAGAAGTGTTTGCAGCAAAAGAAATACAAAAAGCAAAACAATGAATAAATAATAAATGCAAAACAAGTCTGATTCACCAAATTATTCGCATATTTTCAATAACCTACACTGAATTTCGAACTTAAAATGGATGGATTAAGGTAAAAGGTCCAACTCAAATGACAACATTGTTCCCTTATCTAATCGCATTATAGCATATTAGCAACTAATCATTTGAAACAGGTCGAATAAGTAATAACAAACGATCTAAGCAAGACCCCAAAAATCCTAGTCTAGTCTCTCAAGAACAAAAGGTAATAAGGTAGTCTGGTCCACCGGTGCAAGTAAAAGTGCTGGTTAGATCGTCATATGCATAACTATATGCCTGAGGACACTGGTTCTTGAAGTATGATGAAAAAATTGTGGGTGGACAAGTTTGTGGGGATCCAAACTCTCCTGTGCAGCAAAACTGTGGTTGATTAAAAGCCAAACATGCACTTTTGCAGCCAATAATAGCTCCCCCAGAGTCATCTCTTATTGCCAATTCTTGAGGGCAGATTGCATTCAAATCAACAGGACAAGAAGTGCTTCTACAGTTGCTTCCAGAGCCAGATTGTGGGGTGATCGAAAGTGGCAAGTTGAAGCCATCAACAAGACTAACATCATAAAAATCCATCCCATTGTTTGCTGCCAATGTGAATTCTGCCAGACTTGCCGGTGGAATTGCACCTGCACCATTGCATGAAACTTCACCTGATCCACAGTCTGCTGTTTTGCAGAAAAATTTCCCCGAGCTGTCGTTAGAGCAAAACGGTCTTGCCCAAATACGCCCTGACCATTGTGCTGGTACTTCTATGGAGACTGATGACTTGGAGGGTAATTCGAATCCAGTTGTGGGCAGTTGTGCTACCCCTCCACCAGATACGGTTGCTGGCCATATTGTGTAGGGGCAGTTGTTTGTGAAGGTAAATTGAGCTGACTGAACACCTGCAGTATAATGTTAGGGAATATTAGGTTGTGAGAAAGAAAGCATGAAACACTTAACATATCTAGCTTGTCTGTTCTAACACATCTGGTGTAAAATAAGTTTCCAATACATGTATTCACCTTCCATCTCAACTAAGACTTTAATTCTTTTTTTAAGAGAATAAAAGTGTAGTGAATATGCAACATATATATAACCCCCCCCCCCCCAACCAAAAAAAAATACAGTAAAGTGTACCTTTTTTACTAAGTGATTACTCAAAATACCAGCAAATCTTTAATTCAGCGTATATTTAGACTTATAAAGTTTTAACATAATTTTAAACATAATAAAGATTTAATATGTCAAAATTTCAAAAAAAATTATAGTGATTAAAGTACTAAGCTTGCATATGACATGTCGGGGCAACTGTATTTAAAATCCAGCAAGAGAGATATTATTGAACGAATTTTCTATCTATAGATACAAGTAAGCATTCTTCTCCCACTCCTTGCCCTACCTCCTCGCTTCTTATATTCCATCTCTCCCTTGATTAAAAAAAGTATAAAAAAAAAAAAAAGAAGCATTCTTCTCCCACAAGTATGATCTCTAAAGAAATAAAGAAATTTATGGTTAACGCAGAAGCTTCTCCCCTAATCGTAATAACAAAAAGTACAATTTTTCTACACAAACTAATGGTACATCATTACCAATGCATGCGTATATTGATAAGGGCAATAGTTTATATGTTTGAATTTAGTTCTCTTGATATGTTTTTAAACAATAATGCTACAAAAATCTTTGCATTTTTTTTTTTTTGGGTTTTTCCTTGGGACGTTTTTACATTCTTGCATTCACAAAAATCCGTTGTACCCACAAATCATGCATACATAAAGTACTCGTGTAATATGGCGCAGATACTTACCACAGATGAAGAGGGCAGCAAAGCTTAGGAAGACAAGTTGCATGACAGAATCCATGGCTTAATTTCTTCTGAATTCTTTGGGATATACTCTTAAACACGGTATGGATATATGTATATATATAGGAGTTGGAAGAACATGAAAATAAGGAAAGGTTTGACAGAAAGGAAATAACCATGAACCAGCCATTTCTTTTATGGAAAGTAACTACTAGGTTAATTATGAATGGCAACTTCCTTCTTCCACATTGTTTCCAATTTCCTTTGATGAAATAAAATAGTTGTACCTATATAACTAAAATATGTCCGTAGATATAATAAATACTTATTTAAGATTTTGGTTTTGCTAATAACAAGAACAAGTAATTTCTATATGTAACCAACTTGCCTGGAGAAACAATCACTCACAACTATTGCAAAATCAATTCCCAATTGATACTAAAAATTAAAAGAAAATTAGAAAAAGAAATTAGTAATGCCCTAAGCAGCTAGCTTTTTCAGATGCGGAAGAGTTGAATGAATGTAACAATAATAATACCCTTGAGAAATGGCGATTGCTCTTTGATTTGCTGTTGATGTAATTGGCAGGCAAATTTACTAAATCTTTGACCAACACAAAGTTATCGAAGAGAGTGAAGTTGAAGACGGTGATCTTGAAGTGTATTTGACACTAACCTTAACATGTTATTTGCCTCCACTACAACAAAATATTTGCTAATAGGTTAAGGCAAATTACCTCTATGATATAATAAGATTTAAAGAAAGTGAAATAACAAATATTCTGAATTTCTCGCAAGAATGATCTACGGGAGTTTATTTATGAAGAGTTTTGTTTATTTTATAGAAAGAATATTTCTCTAATGGACACATAGTGATCAGGCACATTCTTATAGGTTTTGGGATTCAAATGATGGCAATGAAGCATCTTCAAGCATGAAAAGGTGCCAAACCACTCTTTAGAAAAAAGAATTTTTTTAAATAGATATCTCAATAATTAAGTAAGGCATGAATCAGCTCAAGGTCAATTCTTCATTATTCCCTACACAAAATTAACTACGGAAAACAAATTGAATACCCTTTCTTGGAGCTAAAAGCTCAACCCAATGGATATCCAATTTGGCTCAAAAATGCATTAAATTCCAATTCATATTTGACTTTCGCATAATTCATTGATTTTGATTGTGATCACAACACATGATTCAATTCAGATGGACTGACTGAAGCCATGGTCAATAGAGCACCCTGACTAAATCCAGTATTTATGAAAAAGGCCAAATGATCTAAACATACTAACTACTTTTTTCACATTTTAAGTTTAAAGAAATAACTGCAGTTAGCTTGGGGACAACTTTCCAGAATTTCAGTATTGCTTTGCACAGACTTCCAGAATTGCATTTGTGCTTTGTCCAGAATTTTGCAGATGATTTTCCAGATTTATGGCCAGGCTAATCAAATTGAGAAAAGAGAGCCAACCAAGAAAATTTTGCTTCGGCCAAGCAATAAAATTCCAGTAACCTTCCTGGCCCGCCTCTTAGACCTTAGTACAAAGATAAGTGATCTTAAAACAAAGAGAAGCAGAGATAATTTCATACATGTCCAAGCAAAGGATAGAGGTAAACAAATTGTAGAGATTATTAACAACCAAATTCAATTGAAGCAGTAAAAGATATGAAAAACAGAGAACTCTGATCCTTAATTCATGCATTTCTATGAAGAAAATGTATGCAGCAGAGGGTTTTGACACTTCACTTTGCAAGTAAATCTCTGGATGATTGGAACGTATTTATTTCCAGGCCGATGAATTATTAGCATGGCCGAGCTATCGTGGCCATTCATTGGATATAGCCGAACTATAATTTTGTCCAAGTCTATAGATAAAGACTTATCCTGTTATTAATGGATAAGTGAATAAACTCCCCAATAACTTGATAACATTACTTGTTATTACTAAATGATTATCCCAACACATGAGATAATCAATAAAGGATTATCCTCATCAGGAACTCATGATATAATCATGGGATAATCTTTATCAGGAACTCATGGGATAATCACCAAAAGATTCTTTCATTCCTAGTACAGACTACCAAAGGGAGAGTATCTGATACTCACTCAACCCTCTACTTCTCGTATTCTAAAAACATCAATAACTTGGAAACCAAATTAATTTGATCGTCAGAGTGACCTCGGAGATTAGACCCCGATCCTTTGACAACTCCTTTGTATGAAGGTCATATTCAAGAGTCTTTAGGGGGTAAATGTAGAATAAGGGGGAATATATAAAATTTCAAAGGATGATCTATATTGAGAAATGAATTTTCTTAAATTTAATGAGGCAGGACAACTAAAAAAGAGAATTTAATGAAATTTAGAGAGTACAAATATGGTGCAAACTTAAAAATCTCGAATATTTTCAAGACCATTATATAATTTTATTATATTTGAGGGGGGCAGTTGCCCATCCTCAATCGTACGTGGCTCTCCCACTAACTCATCTAGAGTTACTTTCTGAAATATTACTTGGGGTATGGTCGAGTGCTTTAATGGCAAAATCTGAATGCAATGAAGAACAAAAAATGCCTGCTAGATGAGCATTGGAGAAGGAGAGATGAAAACTTAGAGAATTTATAGTGCAAAGTATTTAAAATTGAGAGTTTATGGCATAAAGTGTTCAAAATTGAAATTTAGGGTACAAGTAAATAAGTGGTACAAGTTGGAAAGTACAAAGTGATTAGCAATTTTATTGCCACAACAATATTTCACGTAATGGCCAAACGGTTCAGTGGCAGTCAACAGTTTTTCTAAATTATGAAAGACATTACAGTCATTTTAGTTCAACATGCCGTGGCAATATACCTTTAGCTGATGCAAAACTTTGCATTGAAAATGTAGAGCCTTCCAGAATTATATTAAAGAGGTAAAAAATAAAATAAAAAAAAAACTTGAGGATGAGAAAGGCATAGTAAGCTTTGGCTCTTGATTGCCAATAAAGACGCTGATATATAGGCTCTGATGAGGCGCCTTTTGGAATCCTTTTAGCATTTTTTGTGTGTTTTCAAACTCGGACCGGACCGGCCGGTCCGACCGGTTGAACCGGGAACCGGCCAGATGTCCGGTCCGAGTTGGTCATCAGAACCGGGAGATTTAAAATTCGGTCAAAAATCGGGTTTGACCGGTACAAAACCGGAAAAACCGGTCCAACAGGAGATTTTGTAAAAAAAGTTCAAACTTTTTTAATATTATGTTTTGACCCCCTAAATTGTGAAAACTTATTAATATATCTCAAATATTTCATACTTTATAAATATTGTCCTAAAATTTGATGTTATTTTTCAATTAAATCCATAATTTTAATTCTAAACTTGTTAATGTTTATTAAATAATATAAATTGTTACTTGATTGTTCTAATTTCTTTGTATTTTCTTGTTAAATATATTTGAAACATCAAATATATATAAATATACCTTTATTAATATCAATATGTTATTGGATATTTTATATACAATAATTTAATTTTTAAATAATTTTTATTTATGACATCATCCGGTTCGACCCCTATCGACCCCCGGTCGAACCCATTGACCCCTGACCCCTGACCTCGGCCGAGTCGATATCCGGTCCGGTTCTGAAAACATAGCATTTTTTAGCTCATTATTATGGTTTACTCATTCTTTGTTCCAATATTTCAAGTCTCAAACTTTAGTGAAATAATTCTGTCCGCTAGAGCTCTATAAGACTGGGTCTTTCTAATAGGCACCGGTTGACATACTTTATTCACACCCAACCTATATGTAAATACACATATTAATAATTATCACCCTCTTTTGCTTTTACATAGTTTTCCTAATTAAGTTTACCTTTTTCAAAATTTAACACTTATGTAGACACCAAATTTTTAGTGCATTTTTGTTTACTATTATTGTTTTTTTTTATGTTAGTTTTTATTTACTTTTAGTCTTTTATTTTTATTTTTTTAAAGTCATTTTAGCATAGAATTTATCGAAAAAAAAGAAAATCATTCACAAAAATATGTCTTAGTTATTTTAGATTCAAGTCATTGTTTTTTAATTAAAAAAAAAGAAGGAAAAGAAAAAAGGAAAATCAATAAAAAAAAAAGAGTTTAGCATTTCATTTTTTTTCTTTTCTTTTATGCCTAGTTTTGCTCCTTTTATTCGATTTTACTTATTATTAATTAACTGAAAAAGAAAAAAAAGAAAAAAAGGAAAAAGTTGTTTTATGCAAGAATCCAATCGGATGGCCAAGTGAAAAGGGTTGAGCTGAGGTTTGCTTTTGACCATTGAAATGAGGGTTTAGGGTCTTCTACTTGATATAAAAAGGCTGAGATAGAGCCGCAGCCAAGGGGGGAGAATGAGAAAGGGCCGGGGGGTCTGAGTAGAATCTGTAGGTGACTAGGGGTCCAAACGAGTCGAGCCGAATCGAGTTTTGAATATATCGAATCGAGCTACACTTATTTATACACGAGCTCGAGTTCGAGCTCGAGCTCGTCGAGCTCAAAAAATAAAGCTCGAGCTCGGCTCGATGTAGGAAAAAGAAAACTCGAGATCGACTCGTTTATAGCTCGCGAGCCTAGCTCGAATTCTGGCTCGCGAATAGCTCGAGTTCCGCTTGATTTTCTGGCTCGCGAATAGCTCGAAGTCAACTCGATTTCTAGCTCGTTAGGAGCTTGAGTTCGAACTCGAAAACAGCTCGAAAATTTTTGGAAATTTAAGCAAGAAAACAGCAATTTTGTCCGCATATTTTTGACAAACTTTAGCATGATAACAACAATTTTTCACATATTCTTGATCTTGAGGCCTACAAATTATGCACTAATACAATCATAAATGTCCAAATATCCACTAATACAAATCATCCAAAAATATCCAGATGCCCACTAATACAAATTATCCAAATTTCCACAAATATCCACTAATACAAATTAAAAGCAGCTTGTCGTCCACAAGAACCAAGGCATGACATGAAGCGAGAATTAGTCCACCAACTCCAACTCCAGAAAATTCCTAAAGGTTAAAAGAATCATAAGAAAAACGATTTGGCAAAAATGCAAATGCCAAATAAGAATGAAACCATCAATCAAAGAAATGAAATGCGTGATAACTAATGAAATGGAGATATACTAATAACAGAGAACTCATACCCAATGAGTTATAGATGACGCAAATGAAATACATGACAAAAGAAGATCAAATGTGAGATGCAAAAAGTATAACAATTTCCAAGATGATATAAACCATTTGCATCATTAAATTTCATAAACATGTGAAAGAAATCAACTTATTAGTACAAGCAAATCACGCAACTATCATTATTGACATTATTCATCTATATGAAAAGAATATCAAATCTTCGAATCCTTAAAGAAACCATAAGTTAACAGGAGCACAAGGGTGCCTACATCATAAGATGTTTGTTCATCTACATGATCGTAGTCATTGTTAGCCTGCTGCATTGCGCAAGAATGGTAAAACAGATCAATAGAATAGCAAAGTTTCTTCCATGTAATCGAAAGGGCACCAATTTCCCATGCAATTGCACAAGCTGTTAAAAAAAAGACAAAAAAAAGCAATAGAAAACAATATATTGCTCCTTGCATTAGGCGCAAGATGTCCCCTACTGCCTTAATTTCCTACTGGAACAAACTCAACACAACACATAACCATCGCATATATGATTGCACTCCACCAGCGTTCTATAACCATCTGCAATTCTGCACTAACCTCTGTGATCTTAATATCATGAGTTAGAATTGGACAAAACTCTAAATAGGAAATTAAAGGTAAATTACCTCAAACATCTCCGAAGTCAAGAAATAGGCAACACAATCTCTTGTCTATCCTTCAATTTCTGGAAAAACAAAAAAATAAAATAAAAGAAATTAAGAAATAGTAAGGCCGAATTTAAATATTATGTGTGATAATTTTTTTTTTTGTTACCTTTTCCTTTTTCTTCACCCCGTGTAGCTTACGACACCAATCTCCAGCACATATTAACATTTCTACAGTTTCTGGAGCCAAGGAAGCACGGTAAGAATCGATTACTCTGGTTCCAGCACTAAATGTAGCTTCTGAAGCTACAGTGCTTATTGGAATGGCTAAAATATCAGCAGCCATCTTGGGAAGAATCTTGTATTTTGTCGTGTCTTTCCACCACTTCAAGGCATCCAAATTCACGATGTCTATCGTTGAATCATCTGCAGCTGTGAGGAGACCATCTTCAAAGTAGGTATCCAATTCATTCTTGACGGGTTGAACACTCTCAACGGTAGCAATATGGGTCAGAAATTCACTCATACCCGAAACATGGGACATTGATGAAGATGCACTACTACTGCTCTTGGTTGGGTGATCACTGCCGATTAGTAGTTGAGAAGATGATCCACTTTGGCCTGAAACATGTATCTCCACATATTCATCATATAGGTCATACAAGGCTTGTCGAACATTGCCTATATTGCTTTGCACTTCATGTGGAGGATAAAGTAATGGAAAACAATAGTTTATGACCCTCATCTTGCATCTGGGATCCAAAATAGCTGCTATAGACATTAATAAGTTACATTCTCCCCAATACTTATCAAATTTCAGCTTCATCTTTTGCACCATTGACCGGACAAAATCATCTTCATCATCAACCTTACTATCTAGTAGCACTTTTATCCGACAAACTTCATTTAGATATAAATTTGCTGTCGGATAATCACTACCAGATATCACATGAGTTGCTTTCCAAAAAGCTTTTAAAATATTGCACACTTTTGAAACCTTTTCCCAATCTTCTGTGGTTGGACAGAAATCATAATTTGGCTCTCTATCTCTGTATCTTGGAAAAACATCTTGAAACTTCAGTGTACAAGTCAGCATCTCATAAGTAGAATTCCACCTTGTTTTGCAGTCATAAATTAGCATTTTTTCTGGCAACTGCAGCCGGCGTACAATTTCAGCAAATTGCAAGCGTCTTCCATCTGTCTTATTGATAAACTCCACACTGTCCCTGATTGTGTCAACTATTTCCTTGATCCAACTAAGTCCGTCTTGAACCATCAAATTCAGTATATGAGCACAACATCTCACATGAAATAACTTTCCTTTTGCTAATAGACACTTGTTTCTGGAGAAAGTGTCCTTCAAACATCTCAGTGCACTGTCATTATTTGAGGCATTATCGACTGAGATTGTATAAATCTTACTCTCAATTCCCCAATCCGTTAAACATTTGAAAATAGCATCCGCAATTTGGATGCCCCGACGTGGAGGAGGGACGTGCACAAAGTTGAGAACCCGTTTCTGCAATCTCCAGTTACTATCAATCCAATGCCCGGTTACGACCATATACTCATTTTTTTGGTTCTTGGACTTCCAAAGATCTGTAGTCAAGCTGATTTTCTTGACTTTCTTTAATTGATTCTTCAATTTTGTCTTCTCTCTTTCATAAACTGATGTGCAATCATTTTTGTTCATAGTCCGATTGATTCTTTGCCATTCGGGCATCCCTCTTTTTTGCATCAAATTGAAGCCTTCTTCCTCCACAATTGAAAATGGATGCTCATGCATAAGCACCCATTCAGCAGTAGCCTCTCTCATGGCTGCCATATCAAACGTCCCGGAGTGAAGGTAGGTTTGAGAAGCTTCGGCAGAATCAGCAGGTGGGAAATTGATCTTTGTTTGTTGTGTTGCTTTTTTTAATTTTTGCAATCGGATAGCACATGACTTCCTATGCCTTAGCAAACTTGAAGTTGTACTAGTTTTCGTCTTCTTGAACTTTGCATGGCAATGAATACACTCAGACATGAGAGTTTTTTGATGGCCAACTTCAACATCTTTAAAGTCATCCCATGCTACTGATTTTTTCTGCCTCTTTTTTTTTCGAAAAGCATCCAAGCCATCATCCGCAGCAGCTTCTTCTACAATTGTTTGAGTGGTTGCATGTGTATCACCTTCTAATGCTTCATCTTCACTCCCTAATTCTTCATCACCAAGAGAGAATTCCAGCTCTTCGTCAATGTTAACAGCAACACCCTTGTCAATGATATTCACTGGACTAGCGGAATCACCAACTGATCTAATAATTGGTGAAGATTGCTCTTGGTTGGACGTATCCATTTTATATTCTCAATTTCTTTTAACTATACCAAAAGGAAAAAAAAAAGCCATAAGCAGCATTCTTTAGTCCCAAAACAGATTACTATTACTAGGAAACAAGTTAGTAGCAGTAATTATTTTCAAGAAAGTCCATCTTCTTTTTTACTTTAATTTGGGGTGACACACACATCTAAGAGAAGTCATCAAGACCAATGGGAACAGTGGATCCATCAAAAGAAGATAGCAAATGAAAAATAAGCAAAGAGATTTAATTATGAGATTGAACAAAAAGAATAACACATTCTTTTTTGTCCTCACTGTTTTGTACCGAATAGGAGTATGAAAATGAATCATCAATGTCATGAAGCCAAAGCCATTAGAGAGTCTTGACATTAATATACTATAATTGAGTTAGATCATCAAGAGCCCTTGAAGGCTATAGAAGGTTGAAACTATATTTAAGTAATTCAAGCGTCAATATTGCTGGATTAGATATTAACTTTAATGATATAGATTGCAAATGACCTCATGTTATGTATTCACTCATAATCAAAACTGTGTGAAATTAAAGGAACAAGAACATCCAGCGGAATGGGAGATATGATTATCAACTAAGGATTTTAATGACAACCTTCCGCAATTCCTTTGCTTCATCTAACTTATCTCATTTAAATAATTGTCGGATGGTACATGCAATAAAAGAAAGATAATCTTAATGCAAAATCCACTATCCTTTTAAAAAGAGCAAGGACTTAATTCCTGTACTGATACATTTCATATCATTCTGAAGCCGTAAGAATTAATGTTGCACATTTATTGAAAATTGATAGCATTGAGACCATCTAAAAATTAGTTGAATCATTCGAATCATGCTTCATTGGCTTAGCAAGAAATTGGAAGTGTAACACGTTAAACATTCTTTATAACAAAGATAAGCACTCAATTGAAAACCAAATATTTGAGAAAAATCCAGTTTTTTTATTGTTTCCCTCTAGAAGTGCACTGAACCACAAGGACCTTTTTATCAATGTTTCACTGTGTAAGTGTTGCATTCTTTTTAATTATTCAACTCAAAAGCTTCAAACAAGATAGTGAACCAATTTACAAGAGATAAAAGGAAATCTACACTTAGCAGGTCTATTATTATATATAGATACTTAATTCAACAAATCTATAATCCAGATTAATAGAATTTTCATTATACAAATTGTTGAATTAAACGGCGCATTAAGTAGAAAGAAAAAGAAGCTGAGTACATACCTGCAAAAATCTAGGAAAAGCTCAATGGGTTGCGCACTTGCTCCGCTGGAAAAGCTTAGACAAAATCCGGAGATAGGAATTCACCGAGAAGCTGGTTGGGTTCGTCAGTCAGCCTCATTGAAGTGGTTGGGTTCGGAAAAGCTGGTTGGGTTGCCTATGTGAAGCTGGTGGAAGCGGTGGAGAAACTGGAGATCGAGCTAGTAGAAGCAGATATGGCAGTAACGGGGAATTGGGAGTTTGGGACTTCCCATGGTTTCAAGAGGGTTGCCTTTCTGGCTCCGTGCATACTGGGATGAATCTGGTGTTTTCGATTCTCAGGTAAGGGACCCGGGTGCCCCCGCTCATTGGAGCTGCACTTGCGACAGAGTTGGGACTGAGGACAGTCAGCAGAGAAAGCTTGAAGGTTGCTGAGGAGCTGGCGGAAGTTGTGGAGGTGGAGATAGCAGAGATGGCGGTAGCGGAAGTACGAATTAGGAGTTTGGCAGTGGGACAGTCGGTCGGCGGAGCCACAGGAAGAAGATCGATCGAAGGAAGTGAAGAAAGAAAATTAGGTAACCTAACCTAATAGAGGAAGTTGTAAATTTTAATTGATTCAGGGGTATATTTGTAATTTCACACTGACTCGAGCCTAACGAGCGGCTCGTCGAGCTATCGAGCCAAAGAAACGAAGGCTCGAGCTCGCCTCGTTTGTCTTAACGAACGGCTCGAGCTCGGCTCGAGCTCGGTCAACACGAGCTCGAGCTGCTCGCGAGCAGCTCGAGTCGCCTGCAGGCCTATAGGTGACGACTGAAGAGATAAGGAGCGGCTAGGTTTTGAGGGGAAAAAACGGAGAGTGAGCTGAAGCTGAGAAGGACGTCTGGAACAAAAAGAAATAGAAGGACGGCGGGGTTGATGAAAATGGGAAAAACAAGGGAAAAACAGGAGAGAGGCTTTGGGCGGCTGCTTGAGAGAGGAAATCAGAAAGAAACGAGAGAAAGGAACAGCGTGAGAAAGATAGGAAGGTTGACTGGAGAGAAAAGGAATGACGGCTGAGGGAAGGTGGGGGAGAGAAAAGCAGGAGAGATAGGAGATTAAGAGAGGTGGTCTGCTGGGGAAAGAAATCAAGAAAGAAAAAAAAAGAGGAAAAGAGGTAGCTACGGGCCAGATCAGAAGGAAAAAAGAGAATTTTGAGAGGGTTTTGGGGCGGAGGAAAACGAAAACCAGAAAAGAAAGGAAGAAAGCTACAGAAATCACAAGGAAAAGGAGGGTGACGGACCGAGCAAAGATTGCCTTTTTCAATCACGTCAAGCCTTGATCTGCTTTGTTCAAAAGGCTAAAGGTAATGTTCTTCTACGTTGGCTGTCCATAGATCGCTGAGTTTATGTCCAAAGTGCAGAAACTTTTGCTTTCGTGCCTGTTTTTCTTCCTTCCTGTGAGTTTTGTTTTGTGAATCCGGGTGGAGTGGAGAAACCCGTAGGATTTGGCCTGGGTTTGGGGACAAAAGTTTGTGATTTGCCTGCTATTGAATTGATATGCCAATACGCCAAAATACGCATTTACCGCAGGCTTTTGGTTCTTTGTCTTGGTTGCATTTTTCCCTATCCAGTAGTAATATAGGATCTGTTGAGAATAGGAAGTTTCTTTTGTGTTTCGTTGACAACGTCAGAATGAAATTTTGTGGTTTTTGGCCAATAAGTGTGATGAGTTTTTGGTTCTGGTTGGGGATGGGTGAACATGTTTCATTACCTTGCTGCGTTTTATGATTTCTTTCTTGCTTTATCCTGTGTGTTGTTGAAGACAAAAGCATAAGGGGCTTGAGTTTTCGTTAGCATTGAGACCGTTTGTATGATCCGTGAATTCGATAAAACAAACCCATAAACTTATGCACGAACTGGGATCTTGTAAAGCTTTTCCCATCCCAGGTTTTCCTTCCCCTTGTATGATATTCTGGAGGATGAGTTTGTAGTACTGGAAGAGAACTTGGAGCTTAGTTTGTGTTGCTGGCTGTTGTACGTGAGATTGCGCAGGTCCCTGAAGCATCAGAAATTACAAATGCTATTTAGTCTTTGCATGCTATTTTATTCTGATTTCCTTTTGTGTCTAAACTAAGGGGAATGTCTGATGATCCTGTCGCCTAGGTTCAGTTTGCATTGTGCATGAGATCTGCTGCAACAAGCTCAAAGCTCTTGGTCCTGTTGCAGCAGCGTGCGCAACCCCTTTTCCTTTTCCTTAGATTGCCGCAAGTTTCACCTTTTCTTTTGCTGCATTTTATGCCCGGCTGTTTCAATCAGTTTATGGGGGTTAGATGATTATGCTTAGGGATGTTAAATGACAATGAGTCGAAGCTGCAAAATTTGCAGCAGAACAAAAAAGCTTTCGCATTCTCTTTGTTGTTTTCTTACCTGCACTTGCTCACCAAAGTTTCGGCCATCCAGTTTGCTGGTTGACCTTATGTTGGAAAGAGGAATTAGATAAGGGGTGTTGGGTTTGCATTTTTGGGGGCTGAAATGCTTGAATCATGTTCGAATACTTACTGAAAGAGTGAATTTCAGGTTGCCAAACCTTTTTACATGAATGTTTTGTCCAGAATTTTTTGCATCAGTTCCTTTACTGTTTCTTGCTTGTTTGGAGTTTGAAGTTATGTTGTTGTTATTTAGTTTGAAGTTGTGATGTTGGTTGAAAGAATTTGGATCAAATGCTTGCATGTTGGGTCGGAAATATGTATCCGAAAAGTGAAAGTACAGCAATTTGTTGCAGAAGGTGTCTTCATAGTGGTTTGCATGGCATTTGCATGAAAACAATTTTAGTAATTGCATTCCAACCCCACATGTTCCTCCTCATGTTACAAGAGCCCAATTATGTTCTAATTTCTTGCATTTAGACCCTAGAATAATTGCAATCTGAACCATTACTTGACCATTTCACTACTTAGGGACCTTTGAAGCCCCAAAATATTTCAATTGGCCTTGAATAGCTGATTAAGGGTTGCTATTGGATCCTTAGTAGTTTTTCTATTTTAGAAATTTGATCAATAATTTACTTTCTTGGAAAATTATGCATTATTTGATTTCGGGTTAATTCCACTTTGTCCCCCCAAACTTTGGACGATTATCCACTTAAGTCCCTAAACTTCAAAATGGACACTTAAGTCCTTAAACTTATAAATACCTCCCACTTAAGGAAAATTGTTAACAAATCCTGAATGCCGTTGGTGGTCGAAGTGTCCCATTTTATAAGGGTTTAGGGATTTAAGTGTCCCATTTTATAAGTTCAGGGACTTAAGTGGGAGGTATTTATAAGTTTAGGAACTTAAATGTCCCATTTTGAAGTTTAGGGATTTAAGTGGATAATCGTCCAAAGTTTGGGGGGACAAAGTGGAATTAACCCATTGATTTCATTTAAGTTGCGATTGAGGGAGATTTGGGGATTTTGTTTATACTTTACTATTTAATTGGTGCCTTGACCATTTTATTGTTTTGAAGCCATTTTTCCTTCATTTGATTACCATTGTGAGGGAGGTACACTCTATCCTTTATTTTTGACTCTACTTGACCCTACATGCCTTATGTGTGCAATTGCATGACTTTAAATGTTTATTTCATTTTTACCTTATTTATTTCTTTAGTTGCTTAGTTTTTGCTTTAATTTTAGTTCAATTTTATCATTTGGGAGGCACTCGAATGCCAAAATTGTAATAGTTAGGGATTTCATTGTTTTATTCTTTCTTATTTCCCCTTTTAGATTGTAATAGGCTTCCCCCCTAAAAATGTAATAGTTAGGGC